AAATGTAAGTAGCTAAGTAGGAAAAATTGGCTAACTATTAAAAGGAATAAACAAGGACTCACATCCACAAGTTGCAGGTGCCCAAAAAAAACCAACAAAATAAAAAACCAGCTACTATCTACAGATTGATCAAAGAAGGAGGGCTTAGGGTAGCATCCTGTCCCTTTTATTTTTACTTTAAGGCAGGATGTCACTAAATTCCTGGGATGAACTCAAAATTTCTCTGATCCTTGCACTTCAATCTCTCAGAGTGCTGGGATTACAAATGTGCACCATCACACTTGGCTATGACTTACTTTTTACATAAAAAAGAGATAAATGAACTGGTTGTTATGGTGCACCCCAGGAATCATCTGCGAGGCTGAGGCAGGAGGATTACAAGTTTGAGCCTACCCTGGACAATTTAGTAATTTAGTGAGATCTTGTCTCACAATAAAAAAAATTAAAAAGGGCTGAAGATGTAGTTCAGTCAAAGGCCCTGGGTTTAATCTTTAATGCCATCAATGAAAATACTTAAAACAGAATTCTAGTTAAAGAAATGCACATATGCTTTTGTACGTGTGTAAACTGTTTCTAGGGTAGTTAAAAATTGAGTGGTGCTTTAGGAAACGTGACTTTAATGCTGGGCCTGGTGGCACCTGCCTGTAACCCCAGCACTTGGGAGACTGAAGCAGAAAGGATCCCCACGAGTTTGAGGCCAGCCTGATCTACATAGTGAGATCCAGTCTAAAAAAACAAAAAGAAATGTGAATTGTAAAAATTATAATTTATGTTAAATTGCCCTCATTAAAAGTCCATACATCATTTTTTGCTCCAATCAGTTTTGTGAGAAAAATTTTCCCTTGCCTCCACCAATATTAGTTGTTACTAAGCTTTTAGTTTCACCCATCTGATGATTGTAAAAGGATCTCTGTATTTCCTTGATTATGAGTAAACGTAATCATTTTTCATGATAATTGGCTGTTTGTATTTTCTGTGACAGGTTTGTTCATATCCTTTGTCCATTTTTTATTAGATTGTTGTCATTTTTAATGAATAGGAGGAATACCTTATGTAATTTGGGTACTCACAAATTCTTGCTGGAAGGATGTATCCTCCAACCAGCCTCTCAGAATTATCTCCGATTGAAATGATTGGGAACTCATGATCTACACTGCAGAGAAAGCCACCACTCCTCCCCAGAGAGCAGGCACGAAAACCTTGGAGGGGAGCTTTCCCAAACATTCTACCACCACCAGTTAATCAAGCAATTAATCAACCCATGTAAGTGCTTCCTGAGCCACAGTTCCTGAGAAATTATTTCACTGGGTAAACGCTCCATCTTGAAGTTTGTCTTATTTACATCAATTAAATCTTGTAATCCAGGACAGTGAATACTTTCTACTGTATTGTTCCTGCTTTCAGGAGTGTTTGAAAAAGTCTTCCTAACACTGAAAGACGAAAAGATTTTATTTTATTTTATTAAGATTTTAGCATGTAGCACAAACTACACAACATTGCTTGAGTCATTATTTTTCTCATTACTATATTTTTCAGATTCTGGTTTGCCACACAGCTGGAATTTTAAAAATACTGTTTTGGTGTCTGAGGCTGTTGTTGAGTGGTAGAGCACTTGGATAGCATGTTGGAGGCCCTGGGTTCCATCCCCAACACCACCAAAAATGAAAGAAAAAGAGAAACAGGAAGAGAAAGAAGAGGGAGAGGAAAAGAGGGAGGAAGGGAAGAAAGAAAAGAAAAATAGAAAGAAGAACCACTCCTGCAGTGTTTTCCGTCCTTGTGTAATAACTATGCATATCATATCATCTGTACCAAAACCTATCTTCTGTTGTGTGTGCAGCTTGGGGTGGGACTAAGGTATGCTGTACCAGCCTCTATCTAGATGTCCTCCCAAAGCTCGTAGGTGGGGCTTCTGGAGCGCCATTGGACCATGAAGGCATGATACTTCCCAGTGCATTAGTGACAGCCTGGTCTGTCCCCTTCCTTCCTCCCTACTCTGCTTCCTGCCTGTCACACACCACGAGCAATTCTCTTCTGTGACGCCCTCTGCTGTGTTGCCCCGCCTTGGAGCCAGCCCACTAGGGGCCGAAACTTCTACACTGTGAGCTGAAATAAACCAGTCCTCCTCCAAGTGGTGAGTGTCAGGTACTGTGTCTCAGTGACCTGAAAGAAAGGCACATGCTAAGCCTGATCTCTATCACTGAGCCACTAGCTCATCTTTTTTTTTTTTTGATTTGTTTGTTTTTGCAGCGCTGGAATCTGAACTCCAGGTTTCACGGACAGGCGTTCCACAGCTTAGCTACATTCCTGGCCCTTTTCTTATGTTGATACAGTGTCTAAGTTCCATGCCCACCAGAAACTTCTCCCACCATAGGCTATCTAGAAAGTAGCTGGGAATACAGGTCTGCGCATCTGTGCGCAGCTCCGCTATGTCTTGAGGCCAGAAGGCTCGCTATAATGTAAGAACTTGATTTAAGCATGACAACAGAAATCTGCCTCAAGGCTGAAATAATAATGTTCAGATAATAGGAAAAGAAGGCTTACTGTGTCAAACCATAATTTAAGAATTTTGAACTATAGAAGCAATTTTGAAAATTATGAGGAAGGTCCAGAACGGGCTTCTTAAAAGGCTTTTCTTTGAAGAAAACCTTTAGTGCTTGGTTTAGAAGAAATCTCCTTTAGAAATGGGGCTGCTGGGCTGGGGATTTAGCTCAGCAGTGCAACAGCTGCCTCATAAATTTGATTACTGGTAGCTTCCAGCTGTGATGGTACACACCCATAATCCCAGCATTCTGGGAGGGTGAAGTAGGAGGAGGATTGCAAGTTTCCAGCCCAGCTTGGGCAATTTAGCCAGACCCTGTCTCAAAATTTAAAAAAGGGGCAGGGCGTGGAGGCGCAGGTTTGTAATAGTAGCACTCAGGAGGCTGAGGCAGGAAGATCCTTGCAAATTAGAGACCAGCCTGGGCTACAAAGTGAGCTCAAGGCCAGCCTGAACTGCATAGCAAGACCCTGTCTCAAAAAGACAAAAAAA